CAATATTGGAAACATCTCTGAGTGAAACTGGGAGTGGAATTTCAAGGACCTAAGCTGGAGTCACAGAAGCCTGGAAGCCGTGCTGTGGGGAATCCAAGTCAGAGCCCCTAGAAGAGCGGGAGGCATTGCCCTTACTCCAGTCCTACAGTACATTTTTAAATGACACTGAAAACCAAATTTCTTGTCAGAAGAAATGGAGGCTGCTGTCCACCCAGAATTCTGTGTCCAGTGAAGGTCTCCTTAAGATGAAGGTACTAGAAACAGGTGAGGTGGAAGAAGAGGAAGGGAGGGGAGAGGAAGGGAAAGTAAGAAACACAGACTCACTGTATAGCTAACTTCAACACTCCCCAGTAATTGATCCACAGAGCAGAAGTCACCACAGTCGAGAACTGAGCAATGCTGTCACCCACTGTATCTAACTGGTGTTTATAAAATGGCCCAACTAGGAACAGCTAAGCACACATTCCTTCCAAATACAGATGTGGCATTCTCCAAGACAGGCACATCTAGGCTACCAAATAAACTACCAATGTTTCAGAGTTGCAATAATTCAATTGCCTTCTCCGATTATCCATGGAACTCACCTAGAAAACAGTATGGGATTCTAGAAAGAACCTCTTCTAGATAATGAGAGTATCATGCCAGAAGTGACAAGGGAAACTAGAAAACATTTTGAGTCAAATAACATGAAAATATAACCGATCAAAACCCATGAACCTCAGGAAACTGGGCAGGTGGGATGTAGATGCGAAAGGAAAGAAGGTTTCGCAGCTCTCAGGCAGGTTTCCTCCCTGAGAGGGAAAGCGTGTAGACTGGCCAACCAGTGACACTTGCAGAGAGTGATGGAAGTCCTGAAGCCCATGTCGACATCAGAGAAACACTCAGGACTCCAGTGCTTCAGACCCACAGAAGAGGTAAAGCCCCAGCCCCACCTGTCTAGGGCAAGGTTCAGAGAGGTGGCAGAGCCTTCCTCTGGTCCAAGTGCAAATGCTGGCAGTGTGTGCAGAAATGTCCCCATAGTGCCCCCCTATGTTCACAGCCTGATGACTGCTCTCGTTCGGAGCCTGTTCCTACTGAGATGGATTATATCTGACTCCTTGTTCAGTTATTAATAATAACCCCGTCTCCTTTTTATCTGTATGTAATATCCCAACCGACAGTGTATATAAACACACTGAGCTTCCCAAGGCGCTGAGGCACCTTCATCAGAGAGCCCAAACCATGTGTGAGGCGTTTTTCCATTCCATGTCTTACCTTATTCCATCCCTGTCCCAGCCAGGTTCATCCCTGAAGCCATGCTGGACCAAGCATGACTTGCATCTGGTGCACAGAAGAAGAAAATCAAAAGACCAGTCAAATAAGGATCAAGCGTAGGATCTCTTTAGGGCCACACGGCCCACAATTTGGGGAATTTGAGGAAAATCAATCACTTTCAGACTCATCTCCCAGCTCTAAAAAAACATTGCATCCCAATGTAACACTGGTTTTGGTACCATGACAATGTGGACCCAGCCTGCTGGGAGCCACTGTGAGGCTCTGGTGTGTCAGAACGCTTGGCTCCTTCCTGTTGTTCTAACCTTCATCGTTTCCTTGCTCAAGGAGGCCTCACGAGGCATGATGGCCGCTAATGGAAATCATGAAATATCCATTCCATCCAGGAGCCGGAAAGAGATGTAGAGAACCACACTTTGAGGGACCATCTCCAACAAGCCTTCTGCTTTACCCTTCCCATTGGGCTTTGATTGTGCCGGTAGCGCAAGGCGAACTGAAAACTACGTTCTTTGCCCAGTGTTCGGATGCGTATGTAACACAGAACAGGAAGAAACAGATAAAGCACGGGCACGGTATCCGCAGTGTTTGTGGAGAAGAGTCCTCAAGATGTTCTCAAAATAGTTTGTACCTCTGGGTGCCAGCGTGCCCCGTGGGACCATCTGGGAAACCCCACTTTCAGCCGTGGGTCCATCTGGACTCAGTTGCCGTGGACTTGGCAGAATCTGACAAATTGCAAAGTCCTTCATTTCTCCCCATAAACTGAGACACCCCGCACCGTGCTCATGCACAAGCCTCTGCACCCCTCTATCCTAATCTCTCTCATTCCCCAGGGACACATCAGCTCAGACATGTTTCCAAACCTAAAGCAAGACAGCCTAGGAAAAGCTAAAATGGGCCCTGGCCAGCATCTTCTGAGACCAGAGAGGCGGAGGTGCCTCCACCCTGAGGCCCTTCCGCCCTTGCTTCTCCTGTGTCTTTATTTCCTCTCTGCCTTCTCTTTCCTCCACTATCAGTGTCTAACCGATTCACAATTACCTTTGTGTGAAACTTCAAAATAGCTCAGGATTTCTTGAACCTTTGCTGCCTCTTTTTCAGTCAGTTGACTCAGGATCCGCAGGTGACTGGCTCAGGGTCCGTGTATAAAGTTCTTAGCATCTCCAGGACCAGTGTGCACCCTCCTGTGTTCTTTAAATATTTCTAGAATTCTGATAATATTTAGTGAAATGTTAGTATGATATAAATAGTCATACTGTTTAGGCAATGAAGGCAAGTGTCCTTGACCTTTCTGGCTCCTACAATTCTCTCTCCCTCTCCTCTGTGGGGTTCACCAGGCTCCAAAGGGAGGGACCCAATGGAGATCTCCAATTTGGGCTCTCCCTCTCTCTGCCTAATGTTTGACTGTGGGTGTCTACATCTGCTCCCAGCAGCTGCTGGAGGAAGCCTGTCTGATGACGATTAGACTAGCCATCGATCTAAGAGTGTAGTGGAAAATCATTAAAAAATTGCTCACTGATTCTTTTTCAAACTTTTTTTTTCCAAAACAAATCGTGGGCTAAATTGATGCAACAATACCCATTTACGAATCTCTGGTCCTTGCAGCCAGTTTTACAGCATATCTTGCTATCTCTCTTTATTCCTCATAGGTGAACAAAACCCCTTCCAAGCTCACTGTCCTGTATTGTATTACACACCACTTTCCATCACATCGTTTCATCTGGTCACAGATCTGAGAACACACACTGGAGGGGCTTCTCCTTCACCGAGCTGTGGGGAGATCACCCTGAGCAGCTGCAATCAATACTTCTACAAGTCTGCCCTTTCGAGATAGCCATCTAGGGGCAGAACCGCTCCCAGATACCCTTTTCATTCCTACTGGAAAGCTAAACACTCTAGTTAAAGAATTCCCCCATTAAACGTCTTCCTTCTCTCTGAACTTTAGCTAAGAATATAAGGACGGCTAAGTCAAAAATGAACCACGTTTGCACTTCCCTTTCTGTCTAAAGGAATATCAGGGCTCAAAATGTGCTTATTTGTTCTGGAGGTCTTCCAGGGTGGGAAGGAGGTACCCGGTGTCACACAAGACCTACAGGATATAACTATGGAAAAGGATGGAATGAATCCACTGTAATGGAGAAGTCAAAAACTGTGGTCTGTCCAGGGCCTGGATCTAACCCAGCAGCCTGTTGTTCAGCCTTCAAAGAAACTTTAAACAATATGAGACACACACACACACACACACACACACAAACACACACAAAGGATTTCTATATGAAAATACTCAGATACCCAGCTTATCTAACAGCAAGCTATGCCTGACCAGTCCCTGTCAGAGAGAAGCTAAGTTCTCTGTGCCTCTCCGATGCTGTTGTCTGGCTCTGACATAAGAAGATGACAACTGTCTTCAATATAGGCATGTCTTCAATGCTCTTTGCACAACCAGGAGCTGGCAAATAAATGACTGAACCCACATAGCCCCTGGAAACACACAACACACAGCTCATTTATCGACCAGTAGGCATTTGAGTTTTAGCCAAGTGCAGGCTACAAAGTCAGGCAGGAGTTGAATTTGAGTTCTCAGCTCAGTTCCCAGTTAGTGCAAGGGCCTCTCGAAAACAGGGTGCATATCTGTTTCCCTGACTCAGTGTCTTCCCTTACAAAATAAAGCGGTTTTTCCTCATCTTTTTTTCTTCTATTTATGTGTATGTGTGTGTGTGTATGTGTATGTGTGTGGGTGCACTTCAGGCAGAAGCTGCCAATCAAAGCCTGAACTTCTCTTGCCAGGCAGCCTGCCTTGGGACACCCCCATCGTTGCCTTTCAGAGGCCGGTCTTACAGGCCACTCTGACACACCCATTCCCATTATGTGTTTGCATTTTGGGGATCCCAATTCCAATCTTCTTGATCGCTGACAATCGCTTTAGCCGCCAGCCATCTCCCCAGCCCTAAATACATGTTTATGTTTAAGTCACAGTGTTTAAACTGCAAGGGAAGGGGAAGTAATTAATTGGGAAGAATCCGGCTATCTTAAATGGGTCTGAGTTGAAAGAATCAACCCTGAGAATAAGGAGCTGAGAAGGTTAAACTGCAGAAACAGACCTACCATGGAGCCAGATAGGACAGCAGAGGAGGCAGGGTTGTAGCCTTTACCTCTGAAGCTCCCGATCACTGCTCCCAGTCCCCACATAGCAGCTACGTGGCTTTTTGCTGCTGACAGTGGGTCAGAGAGCAGGCAGGCCTGGGAGAAGAAGACCGAGAGACTGTGCGCCTAAATATAATTACAGTCCTAACAAGTCTGTGCCGAGCAGGGGAAGAGGCAATCCCTTGGCAGGAGATGAGGCAACATCCTACACGGCACCTGACTACACAGTATATGGAGGTCCAGCAGCTCTGTCGGAAGCAGCAGTCCTACAGGCCTCCCAGTGACTCCCTGACTCCTTACTATGCTTCAGATGCAATGGATGTCTCTCCCAAGGCACCGAGAGCCCACAAGCACACATGACAAGGTGATCTGTAAACTCCCTTAAAGCAGAAACTTGGCCATTTGAATGCCAGAGAAATTAGAGGCGTTCCTATTGGCTGGCTCTGCTCAGAGATTCTAACTAGACATGCCTGTAAGAGAAATCTTGTCAGCCAACTGAACCAGGAGGATCGGTCCCCTGAGAAAGAAAACAGCGTGAGTGTGCCATTCTCATTGACTGCTGATAAAGGCCTGGCTCCGGGGTCACGCACATCAGAGCCCGAAGCTGAGCCGATGACGTCCGTGTTGACAGCGGATCATCACCCAGCCGCCCAACCTTCAGCAGACGGCACACCTCTGCCGTTGGAGAGCTGAGGGCATCTCCCAGACCAGCTCTCCCGTGCACGTCATTATATGTCTTCATCCCCCCATCCAGCACAGGAGAGAGCAGACAAGCAGACAGGCCCTAGTGAGTGCTTAGCGTGAGTGATCAGCGGGAAGAAGCAAGGAATGTGAGAAAAACGCTATCATATTTACCAAAGAGCTGTTCTGAATAAAAAGCCACTTGGGTCCAAGCAGCTAGAATCATGCTCTGAAAGTACCACAGTGTTTAAGCTGCCCCATGCTAATCACACAACAGCAGAGAAGGCCCAGCCTTTCAGAAATCACCAATTCTGGAGGTTTCTGGGCCATTTTCTCCATTCAGTAAACACCCCAGCATCACCCCATTTTGTTTGCTAAGTGTCTTCATGGGACTTGAGTTCAGACAGGAACGTGCAGCTTGGTCAGCAAACCAAAGCTTTCTTTTTGTAAAACTTCTGTTTACCAAGTCTTAATTAGCCATGTGCGACAATTCATGGGTGAAATGAGGAGGATGGATCTTGTTTGTTTCGAAAGAGTCTTAGAATGTAGCTCAGGCTGACCTGCAGCACACTATGTAGACCAGGTTGGCCTTTAACACGAGGAGATCTACCTGCCTCTGCCTCCCAAGTCCTGGGACTATGGGTATGTTCCACCACACCCTCGAATTCCCAATCCTCCTGCCTCTACTTCATGAAGACTAAGTACTGGGATTACAAGCTTACACTATCATGCCTGACTTAGTCTTTGGCATTTTAATTTTCCACCAGAGATGCATACATGGCTGATTGCCACTGTTTAAAGTTTTGTGCCTTGCTTTTAAAAATGCCACACTGAGGAGAAGCTTTATGAGATGTTTTAATGTTTTTGTTGTTTTCCTCGGAGAATTGCTAAAGTAAAGCTACAAGATGAAATACACCCAGGTAGACCCACAAGCAACCGTGATACATAGTTATTGCCAAAAAAAAAAAAAAGCATTTCCTAATTTCCTATATGACATTAAAATTGACCTCAGTGCTTGTCCTTTTATTTATTGCATGTGTCCTCGGGGAGTTGGCTGACTTACCATCCACCCCTCAGTCCTCTTGTAACCACATTGTATCTTCCCTTAGAGACGCACGTGTCTTTCCCACCCTCAGCCTGTGCTGTTAGGGTGCGTTCACCCCCATGACATGTCAGTCACACCTGTTTGTCCCTGTGTCACTATAACAGCGCCGGCACGGAGTACTTAATCCACGCTGCACCAGAGAGACATCAACACAGAATGTCTGTGTAACTCCGTAGGAAGAGACCACAACCCATGTGGTGATCCCCTAAATTATATCATTGGGAAAGTCAGCCCAGCTGAAGCAAGGAAGATCAGATCCTATGTAGCCCTAGGCATGCCTAAAATTTGGAACTAGCATTTCTTTTTTTTTTTTCCATGCCAAGCAATGGGTGGTGATGATGATGGTGAGTCTACTTACCTTACACCAATTTCCGTTACTTTCCTACCACTCGCTCCCCCAAGAAAGCTAAATGAAATGCAGAACTGTGTAGGTCGAGGGGCTGGAATACAGAGATAAGCGGTTGCTTGCTTTAATGAAGGTCTTGTGACACTCAGAAATGGTGCCTCCTTGTGTGCCAGTGTAATTCCACTGACCGTAGTTTATAAACACCCCACGGTTCCTAACTGCATGTTTCCTCCTCTGCCCCCTCATAGCCTGTGCCCTCTGCGATGGTGTGTCTCATACACCACAGCTGCCCACACATGAAGCACCAACAGAGGCGTTCTTATCTTTGTGTTCCTGGCCGGAGCGCTGAACCTCAGAGGTGCTAAACCGGTGTTTGCTAAATTAAATTGGCTGTGGGCAGGTTGAGATGGTGCCTTGCAGGCTATATTAAAGCACAGTTAGGTATATTCCATAAGTTAACAAAGGCGGAGGGGGACAAAACACACCACACACACACACACACACACACACACACACACACACACACACCCTGCTTCCCGCTGCAATCCTTGCATGCGCGTGAAGATGCAACTGTGGGCTCAGGTTCAATCTCATCCCTAGTGCCATCGTCATTTGTCTCTCCAAAGTAGCAGGAGCCACGTTTAGTTACCCCTTCCCTGCGTATCCACAGGGGACTGATCGCAGCCTCCCAGCCCCCAGATACCAAGGTCTGAAGATGCTTGAGTCCTTTATACGAGATTGATCAGTAGTCCCATGTGGCTTCCCGGGAAAAAGATCTCCAGGTATGTTTTGACTCATCTCTGAGTTACTTATTACACTAGACGCAATGTGATGCTGTGTAGAGGCCAATCTACTACGTCGCCTAAAGAATGACAAAAAAAAATATGTATACATCCAGTACAGGCATTGTTCTTTTCAAATATTTTCAGTCCTGAGTTGGTTGAATCCATGGGACTGAGAAAACGATCCAGTCCACACTCACTGTAAAACGGTCAGTGATGGTTCGATTTCTTCTTTCTTCGCTGTGATTCCCCCACATTAATAAAGTGGTAAAGGGGCATTTCTCCCATAGATAGAGACTCTCGTTGCTCAGGTCCACAGGTGAAGAAACAGCAAAGCGCTGCCCACACAGATGGCATGCGATGGTGGAAGCTGGGGTTGAAAGGCTTGAAGGGTATGTTTATCCAAAAGGAACAACATGATGGTCAGAGAATGCCGTTCCCTGAGTGCATGAAGAACAGGGCGCCCGGTTTCCCACCACCTGTTCCGCTGCTCCAGTGACAAAGGCGAAGACCAAAGTCAGCCCTTCTGAGAGATGGTGAGTATAGCATTCCTTGCTTCTCCTCAGACTATGCCACAGGGATGCGGCCTTCTGAGAGTGTGACACCTGACAGTGTCTCTGTGTGCCCCTTTGTAGATTGACACAGACGTTTCTTTTGAACTGTGACGGCAATCAGCCCCCTCCCCCAATTAAGCTCTCAGGAAGACCACTCGCGCTCTCCAGGGGGGCTCAGCTCCTGCTGCTAAGAATTCACACCGCACCCTTAGATGCTAGGGAATTTCTTTCAGGAAGCAACCTGGCAGCCAAGCTAGGAAAACTGACTTGTCCTTCTTAAGTCATCAATTAACAATAACCGGCGCCTTCATCTGCCAGGAACCTCTCACATCAGGCAATGAGCACTTTGAAGCCTCAGAGGGGTCACTGGAACCCCAGTTCAGAGGGTTCCCTTTGAGTGGCTTTCCTCTCATCTTGGGGAAGTCATTACAAGCAGTGTCAAGTCATGTCTGGGGATCCTGGCTAGATGCTGCCACTGCTGTGACTCCCGAGGACTGCCTGCATGCTTGACTTCAAAACTGCCCGTCATGTCATCCATTTTCTCTGAGAGGTTTATTCTCCAGTTAGAAAAACCGTCATGAGTAGCAATGACAGGGATAATTACAGAGGAAGAGGGCTCGTGACATGATTCTTTTAAAATGAAGAAAGGGGAGGGGCCACGTGGGAGAAAAGAGCCTTGGGAAGGCTTGACTTCAAATGGCGTGAAAGGAGGACGGGCATTCTGCTGTGTGTCCTGGTCGTAGGGAGCTCTCAGAGAAGAAAGATTCTGGGACTGCTCATATCTGACTGGTTCCACATTCCCTGGGAGGATATGAGACCCTGGAGTCGGGGAGTTTGTGAACCTCCTCTCTTTGGCAAAGGCTAGAGGGATCTGAGACCCTGGGGTGGCACTCAAGGTTAAGCCTACCTAACACATTCCTGCACAGCTCTTCTCTCTTAAGCTTGATTTTCCATAACCGTTTCTCTTTGAAAAGGGCATGGGCTTTTTTGAACAGTGGCATTTGTCAAAGTGTTTGGGGGTTTGGTTATCTATTTTCACCACAGGCTAAATTAAAATGTTTTTCCTGGTAAATTTCACATGGTAGTCCTGGTTAGACTGCCCAGAACGTGTGAGAACCATTTATACTCTTCCAGAAGGCAGTCTCATTTGGAGTGCGAGGTACCTGTGACCAAGTCCAAGTCTTCATATTGCGTCTCCAGCTGTGGGGAGCACCCATGGAAAGCAAGGCTGGTTTGTTCCTGTTCCTGCCCAGACTCTGTGTTCTTCTGTGCAGGACAGGTATTAACACTTGCAGACACTGAGCACCGAGTACAATGACATTGTTCACATGTCCTCTTTACTCAAGCTAAGCTTTCTTTTCGGCTTTAGAAAATACTCCTACTGTGTAGACAAGGTTGACCTTGATCTTACGGTAATCCTCCTGCCTCTGTCTCTTGAGCGCTGGGATCACAGCATATACCACCATGCCTGGCTCAATAAATGTTTTGAAAATGATAGCAAGGGTTTGTGGAAGGGTTTTAAGGAGTATAGACGATCACCCACAGAGACTTTGGTGATTACTTCTTTGCGGCAGAAAAAAATAATGGTCCCCTTGGTTAGTATGATGGATAATCTTCATTGTCAGCTGGACCACATCTGGACTCAACTGAAACTCAAACAGCTGGAGTGCCTGTGAGGGATTGTCTTTGTTGGATCATTTAAGATGGGAAGACACACCTTAAATTGGGCAATATTTTCTGGTAGCACCCACATCAAAGGACATGGGAGAGGGAAGCTTTTGCTTTTGTTCCTGCTTCCTCTCATGCTTGCTAGCAAGTTCATCCATCCTGTTGCTGAAGTTTGTTGTTCCCTTGTAGGTGTTAGAACCTACTTCTTCAGGATTCTAACACAGACCAAAGACCAGCTGAGATATCCAGCCTCGGGGACAGAATCCAGACCAGATCCTTGACCGTTCTTAAGGAAGACAGCCACTGTTGGACTAGCTGGGCCACAGCTTATAAGCCATTCAAATAAATGCCATATATACATATAAATGTGTGTATATCTGTATATATGAATACATGTATGCGTGAATATATATTCTCATTCTGTAAGTTCTTTTCAATTAGAGCAATGTTTCTCAGCCTTCCTAATGTTGTGACCCTTTAATACGGTTCTTCACATTGTGATGACCCCCAACCATGAATTTATTTTCATTGCTGCTTCTCAACTATAATTTTGCTACTGTTATAAATCATAATGTTCCTTCTGATAATCTTAGGTAGCTTCCGTGA